CTTTCAGCTTGCTTCACCCCCCCCCCCCTCTGACAATGCATCTGTGCAGAATCTCTTTATTATATGTGAAGTGGTTCTTGCAGCTTGCTCACCCCCGCCCCCACTGATAATACATCTAAGCAGAATTCTTGGTCACTACATCCGTGTCAGGTTTGATGCCCCCCTCTGCACTCAGGATTTTCTTGGCGATGTCCTTGTTATCTGTCAGGTCTTTGAGTCCACTCTGTTAAGATGTATGAAGATCATGGAATATTATATATAGGTGTAGATAAAGATATAGATATGGATATAGATATGGACTAGATAAAAACATACATACACATATACGTACATACACACATGCATAGATACATAGATACATGGATATTACATGATACACAATACATAACACACACACACAGACACACTTATATATATATAAATATATAAACATATAAATATATATACATATACATACATACATACATACATACATATATAAATAGCTTCCCAAATTTGACATGCGACATGTTCTCCTGGCTTGTATATGTTGATAAGCTACTGGGTGGCTCTTGATTCACACAACAATATCGGACAATTAAGTACACTTAATGATTGGAAGCATCATCGTGTCAGAATCGAACAGCATCCAGATACACAGAATTATCGAAGAACTTCTGATCTCACACAGACGTCTATAGAAACATCTGTGCTTACAGGCTGCTAACCACGAACAGGCCAGAACAACGGTAACCAGGTATAGTAATCTAAAGTGCTAAACGGGACTTTCTAAACCAAATGGGAATAAGAACATAGGTACATAGACTACTACTGAAAAGAATACGGTAGGTATTGGATAACTATTTAAAGCGAAAAAGAACATAAGGTACATAGTCTACTGGAAAGAATACGGTAGGTATTGGTTAACAAATTTGGCTTCCGAACCCCGAGGCTTCCGAACTCACACTGTAACAGCAAACTGTGTGCACTCTCAGATGATGCAGATATCTGTGTGCGCATAGACATTCGGGAATATTCTTGAGCGGTCGTACCAAGTCTCGCGAGTAAGGTGAAAACGCCCATACACGCGTGTATGTAGAAACAGATACATGTATACATACGTGCGCACATACATCCATACATGTATACATACACACACACACACACACACATACATACATACATACACACTTACACACATACACACAAACATACATACATACATAAATAACATAACAACATACAAACACAATATACAGATAGATGCGTCCATAAACACACCGAAAAATACTCAGACAGCTGATACGAACCTGCTCTTCCTCATGGTTGGCAATCTTGTTGTTGATCAGATCGTGTAGGGCTAAGATGGACCGTATCATCGAGGCCAGATAGATAGTCAGCATTTGGTCGTTGGTAGTGACACAGAACGCGTTCAACAGAGACTCGACATTGAGATCAGGTAGCAGGTTGAAGACGTTCTGCAACAGCGCTACGATCTCGTTATTGACAGGCATGTCACCCTTTGACACCTTCAGCGTGTAGCTGTGCGGGGGGTAGATACAACAGAGCCAGAGGGGGTTGGATGGAGTGAGTATAGGGTGTCAATTGACACCGTCAAGGGATGGATGTACATGATACAGATACGCATGGAACCATCAGCACAAGAGTTTTTGACAAGGAAAAACAAACGACCACGTGTGTAACATTAACAACACTGCCCAGCCTACCTATAAATAAACAAAAGAACACGTGTGTAACCATAACAACACTGCCCAGCCTACCTATAAATGCTCTCCAGTTTGGTATGCAGCCCTCTGAGTGCGCTCAGCTGCTGTGTGATTCGCGTTGCTAGGGTACCCACGGACGAGTCTTTGATGTCTCGAAGCAGATGCTCAACACCTGCCGATGTAAGTGGGTTTTAAAGTTTTAGGGATTTAGGGTTTAGCAAAATCGGTCCCGAGATACGAGCCACACTATCGCTGAGCGCGAATGGTGTATACCAAAGTCACTTGCTATCGTTATCAGCGTTGATGGCTTGGCTCTGGGTGGTAGTAGCTAGGATCTAAATGTGCCATATATTGACCCGAAGAGCGATCACGGAAATGACAGGCCAACGTATGTGTATGAGTATAGAGAAGGGGTGTGCGTGCGTGGGGGTGGGGTGGGGTAGGTAGGTAGGTTAAAAGTTTTCATAGTCTTAATTGAAGCAAGAGTAATTTAATGGTTTAACGTTTATAAAATTCGTCTTTGGCATTTTAAGTTTATTTTTGGATAGCTGTGTGACAGGCAAGTGATTTCTTGGCAGATGCGTTGTAGCTCAGGTGAAATAAAGGCAGAAACCACTATGCGCGAGTATACTACACCACATATCACGCATACCCTGCTCCACCCAGCATTTGCTGATATATGATAGTACTAACAGCAATATTATATTATTCACGAATAAAATGAATAAAATGAATAAAATAGAATAAAATAGTATATATATATATATATATATACATATATATATACATATATATATAAATATATATATATATATATATACATACATATACGTACACATATACATACATAAAC